ATGTAAAGAAAAAATTTAAAATGAGCGAATACAAGAAAAAGTGAACGTGGCACCTATTAAAGGAAAAATGGTAGAAAATCATTTTAGATGGTTCAGACATATACAAAAAAGATCACAAGAGGTATCTGTGAGGGGAGTGGAACAAATAATTTTAAGTCCTATCAAGAAGGGTAGAAAAAAACCTAAGAAAATAATTTTGGATGTTGTTGAGACCTTTTAATTAACAATATTTTTAAAAACTTAATAAATACTGGAGTACAATGACGTCATATAATCCATATAGCCGATCCTACCTAGTGGGATAAGGCTTGTTGTTATTGTTGCATTTAAGATTTGATTTTTTTTAGAAGATTATATGTAGAACACTGATTGCTAATAACAATTTCGTTAGTTTGTAGATAACTAGGACCTACTTTTTTGTTTTTGTGACTTAGGATGTGTTTGATTACTTACCCTCATGACTGTATGTCCAAGTTTTTGTTACATAAGCCACGTTCAGTTATTTTTCCTTATGGGTCATGCACTATGTGTCCACATTTATTTTTTGTTCTGTTAAATCTTCAAAACTTTGAATTTTATTGAATTGTATACTTCATTTTCATTGGGTCCAGCTAATGAAGTTGCTATCTCTTCTAATTATATACAATCCATTTAATTCCCTAAGAACCATTGACAAGGCATTTTATTTTCCCCTTGTTTAATGGTTTATAATTAGTGATTCAAAGATTTATTGAATTTCTTGTTCCAATTGTTTACATAATTGCAACAATTGATTCATTTTATTTTATTTTTTAAACTTTATTATTATTGGGATATTATTTACCAGAAATTTTTTTTATCACAAATAGTGTAGCTGATGTTGTATTTTTTGCTAACCTTTGAGGGATTTGTTGTTGATTTGACTTGAAGATATTTTTTGAGAATATCTTCTTTTTTATATAAATGTATGATTGTGTATTATATTTTGAGAACTTGATCTAGGAGTTTCACATTACTTATAAATAGGATCCTAACTTGATATTCCTATTTAACTGTCTATTGTGAAGGAGTAGGGCTTTGCATTACTGATTTAATTCTGTAAATGGCTGTTATAGAAATTTTGAGATGTCCTACTTATAAGAAAAATTCTGTTAAAATTTTTACAAAAAGTTTACGACTCTTTTTGTTTATATGAAAAATGTTGCAAGAATTTCTATTCCTACTTTTAATGCAATTAATATATTAGTTTAAAGTCTTCCTTGAACAAGGTTTAAGTGATGTCTACTTGTGCATATATCCTCTGCCGGTCACATCTAATTTTTTAGGCATGACAATAACAGCCAAATTATATGCCCTTCACTAGGAGGCCTGTGTGCTTTCAAATTCACAAACAATCATAAATTTCAATTAAATTAAGCTATCATCTTTGGCCCCTTGGTAAAGTGAAGCTCTAATTTAAATATATGGGTTAAATTTATTATTAATCATTTTTCCCATAAAAGAATATCTCCATTAGTTTTTAGGAACTACCATGTATTGATTGCTAATAACATACATATGTATATAAATAATTATATATTCTCATTTCTTATTAACAACAAATTTAATTTAATTTACTATTTTTAATGTATATTCAAAGCATGAATATAGATTATTTCAATTTTTCTTCATCACATATTTTTTCAAAAATTCCCTTATTGAAAATATAATCAATATTCCATTTATATATACTTTGTAACATTCCAAAATCTATTTCTTGAATTAATGAAGAAATTCACAAGAGCTTGAAAAAATCCATAAAGACTAATATATATATATTCCTTCTATTAAAAAAATGTAAGTCATTTTAAACTGAATCTCATCCCCAATAAAATAATTACGTATCTTCAAATTAATACTATCTTTCATATTTATCCTTGTTTAATATGGTGTTTTACTCTAAAATAAATATAAAGTGATTTATTCATTAGGGGTGCTTTTAAAAAAAACATAATAATTATAAAATGCTTTATATTTTTTAATGGAAGGAATATATATATATATATATATAAAGATCAAAGTTCAAATAATTTACAATTAATTTATGTTGTGTAAAAGTTAAAGTAAAATGAAGAAGAATTGAGAAGAATGTAAAAACAAAGTATAAGATCCAACATATCATAAACATTGTAACGTAATAATTCTAATTTTCTACGCTATTTAAGCATTCATGAATTTAATTTGCAATATACAAATATAGTTTTAAAATATCACAAAAACGATTTTTCCTATCAACATCAATTATCAACTACTCATAATAAATCTTCTCATGAAATTAAACAATTTCTCGTTCTCCCAATTTAAATGTGATTCAAATATATAATCTTGTTTCCTCAAACATCACATACAACAAACTTAATTGCAATATATATGTATACTGTCATAACAAATGTTTAAAATTCATAAAATTATCATTTAATTTTTGTATTTTTAAATTTGGAAATAAATTGGAACAATATATTAAATCATAATGTGACCAATAATTGTCTTTTGGTCTATTTAATTTCATACTGTGTTGATATTTTCTTCAATATATCATAATTCTTTTTGGCTCTATAACCACTTTAGCTTTTACTTTCAATAAAATTAATATCTGTATGGTTAAATAGCTTATAACCATGGCAAAATATCATTATTTAATATAGCAAAATATTATTGCTTTTAATTCTCAATTTGGGCATTGGTCTTGTGGTCATAACAAAATAAATATGTCAATTAATCTTTAGGGTTATTAATTTTTTGGTTATATGATTTTTTTATTAGTCTTCGGGACTATTTAATCTTCAAGACTATAGCAAAAAATATTTTTCAATACTATCAAAGTTTTTTGGTGCCATGAAATTATTGAATCATTAACCATCACAGTACTTGTAACAACAATTTTTTTTCATAATATTTATTTGATTTGAACAACAAAGTGGTCATTACAAAAGACTATGATCAAAAGTAATGTGGTTTCTGGCCATCTAATTACATAAATATACATATGAAAATAAGATTTTTTTTGTTTTACGAAGTTCTAATGATGGTAATGATCAGCAGGTATATTATTTTGCGGTGAATGCAATAATTTTTTTATATATTATTAGTTTGGCAGCAAATGGAAACAAACTATGCATCTATTAATTTTTCTTATAGGCTATGTATATGGCTCACTAAAATATACTACATGAGAATTCTTGAAGATGAATGAGGAGCAATATTCATTCTCATGAGCATCACAAATATGTGATACACGGCCTTTATTTATAAGCTCTAACCCTATTCAAGAGTTAAAATAGATTGAATGACAATATACAAGATGTAACCTTTGAATTTATAAGTATTAAATATGAGAAAAACTCATAAAACCCTTCATTAAAAAGGTTATAGAATGTGGGACATGAATGGTCAAGAATTGGAAAAATTCATGAACATCTACACAACAAATATAATATTTATAACATATCTTCTATTAATTTTCACAAATTTTTTACATAAATTGTGAGGTTTTAATTTGGAGGAGGAAAACATACCTAAATGAGATGAGTTGCACTGATATAGGAACATATGTGGGAACGAAATCATGATAAGAACTTGGTTTAGGAGTACACAATAACACAACAAATGCATTGAGAAAAGAGAGCCAAGAGAAGGAAAGAACTAGAGAGCTTTTCTAAAGAATGAGATACACATACTACACTCTCCATAAATCCATCTTAGACATGCGTGGAGAAGTTAAAAAATTGTTACAACCAAAGTTCAATTTTCTTCTCCTTTTTTCTTTCCTGCACTACCTCATCATTGACTGTCAAAGTTCAATTTTGAGCAAGGGGAATATTGCATAAAGAGAACCAATTTTATTACTCTCATTGACTCAGACTTCTCTTTATTATAATGAATCCCCAAGGGCTTATTTATTTGGGCTCAACCACAAAGAATGGATAATCCAACAAGAATGGAATAATTTCATTTCAAGTTTCCATGTGAATCAAATTTTATTTTTGGCCTAGAAACTTTTAAAAAATATAAAAACATAAAAAAGTTTTTAAGAAGTCCCCACAAGAAAAGGAAAAGTTTCCTTGAAGGACCATCATACCTGAGGACCAAAACAGTTTGAATTTGCTCTATATTCTCTGAGGTGACATCTAATGATCTAATAAAAGATTAAAGTTGAAAGGTCGGAAATAACCATGCCTGTCATTTTTCATGATATTTTCTACACTCTGCTTGTTAAAATCTTATCATTATTTGCCATTTTCTATCCACATATAGCATACTTATCAAAATAATACTCTCAATCTTATCATTATTTGTCATTTTCTATGTACATATAGCATACTTATCAAAATAATACTCTCACTTGTCATTTTTTTAACCATCATGCTTATTAGGATATTACACTTGATAGTTCCTACTTTTGTGTTTATTAAAATATTATAATTACTTGTCATTTTTTACACACATGCTAGTAAAATCAATATGATCTAATTTATCATTTTCTACCATCATACTTGTTAGAACATTACATTCTTTATTTTTCACACTTGTGCTCGTTAAAACATTATGGTTATTGTTCATTTTTTTTTATATATGTTCATGAAAAGATTACAGTTACTTGTTATCTTTCATTCTTATATTTGTTAAAATATTATGCTTGATATTTTTTCCTTGTAAATTTGAAGGGTAGACACTTTGTCTGAAAAGTTATGGGATTGAACCCAAAACCCAGTGTATAAACTCACAACATAGTGCCACTAAACCCAAAAGTCTTTGGTTATACTTCGTATTTTTCATCATGTATGTTGAACTGTTGTTGTTAGTTGTAATTTTTCTACCGGGTGAAATTTTTAAGAAGTCATTTTTATCTTTTCTATTTTATTATTATTATTATTATTTTTTGGTCAGATGCGTTACATGTCATGTAAGGAAATTTATGACCAAATTCAAAATACTTTGAGCGGTGCTTCATTGCGATTTCCCAAAGGAAAATAATGGTCAAACAAAATGAAGGGATGAAACGCAGGGTTTCTTGCGTTCCATCTCTCCCCTTTTCCCTCTTCGCAGGGTAGCGCACGGCAGCGCGAGAACAGTGAAGCGAGGAGAAATCTGGAAGAAACGGAGGGAGTCGGAGAGAGAACAGAGGGAGAGAGAGGGAGAGAGGGTGAGGATATCTGGACTCAGCTGAATAAGAACGAAAAGGGCGAGAAAGGGTAGGTGATAACAGAATAGAAGGAGAGGGAAAGAAAATAGAGACGAAATCGAAGAAAACCGAAGGAAAGTAAGGATTGAAAAAAAAAAATCGAAAATCCTGGTTCGCGAAGCTTGCCATCAACGTCGAGATAGGGTCCGTGAATGGGCAATCCCTGAGCCTGAACAGGTATTTTTACGAAGTTGTGAATTTCTTAGGGTACTGGGAAATGGCCTGAATTTTTTCTTTTGGTGTTGTTCCTTCACCTTCGTGGAGTCTTTTAGTTCGGACTTAATTCCCATGTCAATGGGGGCTCTTGTAGAATTGGTCATTTCGCTGTTACACGCCATTCTGATTCTTTTATAATCGAGAAGTCGTAGAATCTAAATAATGAAAAGACGAATACTGGTTAAGCTTTATTGTGCGGCTTTGTTGACTATATTTCGATTGCAAGAGTTTACGAAGTAGTCGACCATTTCTTAACAATGTTTGGATTTTAGATAGCCATTTCTTCGTTTTGCTGGACCTTCTTGTTCATCAAGCCACTCTAGGTCAGGACACCAAAACCATATGAACTTCTTAGCGTTTCTATTCCTGTACTTTTTTTAGTCTTTCTGTTGTTTAGACGCATAAGTTTCGAGAGTTTGGATTTGAATCTTGCTAAAGAATGCCTCATCTTCTGTTTTTTTTTTTTTAACATAGAGCTGCCTCCTTTAAAACATTGAAGCCGTCGTATTATTCATTTTAATTTGGCCTGAAACTTCATTCCAGGGATAATTGTGTTCTGTAGTCTTGGCTTTCTTATTTACTTTCACTTCCCTTTTATTATTTTTAATTTTTGTGAGGTTGCGAAGTAGCTGCCATGTCTGTTGTTCTGCATAATTTTTTAGTTGAATGAATATTGAAAAGAATTGTGTTAGAGTTACCTCTTTGTTTAAAAGGACCTATAGGAAAGAGAAGTGTTTATTAGATTGTAACCAAGAAGGTAAAATGGAGTCCCACTTTGTAATAATCAGTCAAGTATGGATTATATGAATACATAAAATATTTGAAAACGAAGATTGAAAGTTTTAAATTCGTCATAAATGAAAGATAAAATTAGATTGAAAGTTTTTACTGTATCTTTTGTTTTTCAGAAACTGAGTAGACTATTCTGTGCAAATGGCTGACCATCGAAATGGAAATGTCCAACCTCCCAATGGAAAGTCCAGTGTAGCAGGAAGTGCTTATTCTATTGATCTAAATACATTTCAATTTAGGTTGAAATCATTTTATTCTCATTGGGATGAACACAAAACAAATCTGTGGGGTTCTTCAGATGCAATTGTCATAGCATGTCCTCCACCTTCAGATGATCTCCGATACTTAAAATCTACTGCTCTGAATTTATGGCTTCTTGGTTTTGAGTTCCCAGATACAATTATGGTCTTCACGAAGAAGCAGATTCACTTGTTATGTAGCCAAAAGAAGGGCTCCATTCTTGAGGCCATAAAGAAACCTTCCAAAGAGGCTGTTGGTGCTGACATTGTTATGCATATCAAGGCCAAAAATGATGATGGGGTTGCTCAAATGGATGCTATATTCCGTGCCATCCGTGCTCATTCAAAGGTAGATGGTTCTGATGTTCCCACTGTTGGTTACATATCAAGAGAAGCTCCTGAAGGAAAATTCCTAGAAACATGGGCTGATAAACTGAAAAATACAAATTTCCAACTTGTTGATGTGGGTAATGGATTGTCGAGTTTGTTTGCTGTTAAGAATAGCGAGGAATTAACATCAATTAAGAGAGCAGCATACCTGACAACAAGTGTGATGAAAAACTTTGTTGTTCCAAAGCTTGAGAATGTAATTGATGATGAGAAGAAAGTTTCTCATTCTACATTGATGGAGGAGACTGAGAAAGTTGTACTGGAACCTTCAAAAGTCAATTGTAAACTAAAGGCAGAGAATGTTGATATTTGTTATCCCCCAATTTTTCAGAGTGGGGGAGAGTTTGATCTCAGACCTAGTGCTGTCAGCAATGATGAGTTACTTCATTATGATTCTGCCAGTGTGATAATATGTGCAGTTGGAGCTCGATATAAAAGCTACTGCTCAAACATAGCTAGGACCTTTTTGATTGATGCAGAGCCCCTTCAGAGTAAGGCTTATGAAGTTCTTCTGAAGGCCCATGAAGCTGTCATTGGTTCCTTGAAGCCGGGGAGCAAGATGAGTGCTGCATACATGGCTGCACTTTCTGTTGTAGAAAAGGATGCTCCTGAGTTGGTTTCTAATTTGACAAAATCTGCTGGGACAGGCATTGGCATAGAGTTTCGTGAGTCAGGTTTAAATCTTAATGCTAAAAATGAGCAGATAGTAAAAGAAGGCATGGTCTTTAATGTTACACTTGGATTCCAGAACCTTCAGAGCGAGAGCCATAAGTCAAAGAACCAGAAGTTCTCTATGCTTCTTGCTGACACGGTCATAATCAACAAAGATAAGACAGAAGTTGTTACTTCTCTGAGCTCTAAAGCTCTTAAGGATGTGGCCTACTCATTCAATGAGGAAGAAGAAGAGGAGCTGCCAAGAAAGAAAGCCAAGGTCAATGGTGCTGAGCCTGTCATGTCTAAGACCACTCTAAGGTCAGACAATCATGAGATATCAAAGGAGGAACTCCGAAGGCAGCATCAAGCAGAACTTGCACGTCAGAAAAATGAAGAAACTGCAAGGCGGCTGGCTGGAGGAGGAAGTGAGACAGGAGACAACCGTGCTTCTGTAAGGACTTCGGCTGACCTGGTTGCCTACAAGAACATAAATGACCTCCCCCCTCCCAGGGATATGATGATTCAGATTGATCAGAAGCATGAGGCAGTTCTCTTGCCTATAAATGGAAGTATGGTGCCTTTTCATGTGGCTTTCATACGAACTGTTTCCAGCCAGCAGGACACCAATCGGAACTGCTACATCAGAATTATTTTTAATGTTCCTGGGACCCCTTTTAGTTCTCAGGATGCAAACACAATGAAGTACCCTGGTTCTATATATCTGAAGGAGGCTTCTTTCCGTTCCAAGGATCCAAGGCACATTAGTGAGGTGGTGCAGTCCATTAAAACACTTAGGCGACAAGTTGTAGCTAGGGAGTCTGAGAGAGCTGAGAGAGCAACTTTGGTTACTCAGGAGAAACTGCAACTTGCCAATAATAGATTTAAGCCAATTCGGTTGCCTGACCTTTGGATTCGGCCCCCTTTTGGTGGACGTGGAAGGAAGATACCTGGCACACTTGAGGCTCATGTGAATGGATTTCGTTACTCAACCACTAGGCAAGATGAACGTGTAGATGTAATGTTTGCCAACATTAAGCATGCGTTTTTTCAGCCAGCTGAAAATGAAATGATTACGCTCCTGCATTTCCATTTGCACAACCATATTATGGTGGGAAACAAGAAAACCAAGGATGTGCAATTTTACGTTGAAGTAATGGAGATGGTCCAGAATGTAGGTGGTGGAAAGAGATCTGCCTATGACCCTGATGAGCTTGAAGAAGAACAACGGGAGAGAGATAGGAAGAACAAAATCAATGTGGAATTTCAGAGCTTTGTTAATCGAGTCAATGATCTCTGGGGACAGCCGCAATTTAGTGGCCTTGACTTGGAGTTTGATCAACCTTTGAGAGAACTTGGCTTTACTGGGGTCCCTCATAAGTCCTCTGTATTCATTGTTCCTACTTCAGCCTGTCTTGTTGAGCTGATTGAAACACCGTTCCTTGTTGTTACTCTAAGTGAGATTGAGATTGTGAATTTAGAGAGAGTTGGTCTTGGGCAGAAGAACTTTGATATGACAATAGTATTTAAGGACTTCAAGCGGGATGTTCTCAGGATTGATTCCATCCCTTCCACTTCACTTGATGGAATCAAGGAATGGCTTGACACTACGGACATTAAGTATTATGAGAGTAGGCTAAATCTGAATTGGCGCCAGATACTCAAGACAATCACCGATGACCCACAGAGCTTTATAGAAGGTGGGGGTTGGGAATTTTTGAATTTGGAAGCTACTGATTCAGAATCAGAGAATTCAGAGGAGTCAGACAAAGGTTATGAGCCATCAGATGTTGAACCCGAGTCTGACTCAGATGACGATGATTCTGATAGTGAATCTCTAGTGGAGTCCGAGGATGAGGAGGAGGAGGACTCTGGGGACGACTCAGAAGAAGAGAAGGGAAAGACGTGGGAGGAGTTGGAGAGGGAAGCCAGCAATGCAGATAGGGAGAAAGGCAATGAGTCTGACAGCGAAGAAGATAGGAAAAGAAGGAAGATGAAAGCCTTTGGTAAGTCACGAGCCAGTCTAGGTAGTAGCATGCCAAAGAGAACCAAGCTAAGGTAGACTGTAATATTTGTACTTGATTTCTGGTCATTTTGTTGTTTAGTGCAGCTCCAACCACGCTGTAGCTGCCTTAAGCAGTGCTCAAGCTTGGAGTTCATATATCACTGTAACTTAGGTTTTTCTATCCATTATAAATATCTGTAGGCACTTGATGGGATTCTTGAATGCAACTTTCTTGATTAAAATTGTTACATGGCTTCAATTTTATCAGCCGTGTTTCTTGCTTGGTTTTTCCCTGTCAATGATCAGCTGTTAGTTAACCTGTGGTCGTCTCATGTGTGATTAAAATTCTTATCATATGCAATTTGTGTTGATGCGGCTAGTTCACTTTACTAGAATCTGATACGAAGTCCACCTGAACAGCCTGCAGATATTCTAGAACACAATTTGTAACAGAGATTATCAATCTCTCCCTCTGCTTTTTGTTGTTCCAGAATGCCGTGTACCTATTTGCCAGACTGGTTCTACATATCATCCTGGTCCTGGCTTGAGTCGCTATGTTTGGATGTGAAAATTCTGTTTGACTAAGAATTTTAAAATTCTTTTTGATTTAGAAGGACAATTCATTACCAGTAGACCTTCTAGTGGAAGGTGCAGAAGGTCTACTGCATGAGTACATGAATGCAAGGTCCTGACATTAAATTTGTGTGAACGCATACAATGTCTTTAGGAGACTGGCTCCTAATTGAGCCTGGTAATGCTCTAAAAGGGCCTAGTAATAATGGATGTATCCAAAGGAAAAAGAATAATTCATTTATTAATGGAAAAATTACTAATAGTATTGAAAACACATTTTATAAAAGAGTTAAGGGTTAATTTTGCCCATGATTTGAAAGCGCATAAATGACTTTAAATTCAATTATTTGTCATTTATGGCTCGTTTGGTTCAATCCCATTTATCTCAATTACATGTCATCATGATGCAGCTAGCCTATTCCAAATGTTTGGTTGGACTTGGTAATGTAAAGGGGATTACATCATGTAATCCTGATTCTCTTAAATGACAGCATCTGGATTGCATCGCTGGCCATATGAATGAGGATTATAGGATGAAGAAAAGACACTATTGCCCTTAAAAAATGCACATTGCTCACCATCTCCTTTTGCTGAATAAACTTCTCAAACAAGAAGCAAGAGGAAGAAGAAACCTTGGTCGCTATCATCTACCATCAGATATGCCGCCACGCTCCTTTCCTTCACCACCAGCAAGACCTTCCTGATCATCCACATTGCTACCATCGTCCACCTTCAGATTGCATCACCTCATCATTTCTGCTAGGACCTAGGCCCGCCGCCGTTAACGGTTGCTGCGCCAAAGATAGATCATCTATCCCAAGCCCACCTCGCTGTTGCCAGTCCGAAGCCCACTTCCCCGCCACCCTCTCATGCCACCATTCTCAAATCTCATCTCCTCATTTGCGTCTTCCTCCATTCCTCATTATTTTTGAGTTAATTTTCTAGATGGTGGGTTTTGGATTTTGATTATGTTACTTTGTGTGGTCTGTACTGACATAAGGTATCGATTTTCTAGATTGAGGGTGATATTGCCGAATAGCCATCATCGGGAAAAGGAGGAAGATAGATGGAATTGTTTTTGTGGTGAGGGGTAGAAAGGACATTTCATCATTCTTTTAGTATTTTTTTCTTAAAAAAATATATACATCTTATAACATACCAAACAAACATGTGTAATCATCATTATATTATATTCCATTTCCTATGATTCAGTGAACCAAACAGGCACTTATATTCTTTAACCACTAATATTTTTAAATTTGCCATCTTGCTATTTTTCCTGCAATTTTTTTCTATTTGTTGGGTCCACATGTGAATTTTTTTAACATTTATTCATTATAAAATATTGCATTCTGGGTTCCACCAATGTATTTTTATATTTTTTAATGATTTAAAAAATTCTTCTCTCTCTTCCACCTTCTCTCTCCCCCTCCTTTCTCTCTCCATTGTCCAACCAAGACCTCCTCTTCTTCCACCTCTTCGAGCTCCAACTTAACTCCAATTTTGACTTCAATTGCCCCTTTGCCCTCCACCTCCTAGGACGAGCCACCCCAAGATTAGCCTAATTGAGCTATTGTGTGAAGGTGACGGTGCTTAAGAGTTGAGTCAACTGGAGTTTGGCCTTCCCTGGTAAGGCAGCTTGGTCTCAAACCAGAGAGGGAGTTGTTGCGAAGACTGAGGACACGGAGGTCAAAGTTTTGGAGGAAATAGCAAAACAACTCTACCTGAATCTGTTCATCATGCGCCATCGTTGAACCATTGTTGAATCTATTCAATATGTTTAATCATCATCTCTCACCATCTCCGAACCTAAATAAGTTTGCCCTTCTTCATGCGCCTCCATCCTCAACCTTATGGCAACAACCTCTGCGTCTCCTCATTATTGGCACCCACCATCAACATCACACCATTTGAACCAGAACCTCACCACTTTTTTACTTAAAGAACAAGGGTGAGCGAGTAGGTGGTGCATACATGCATGTTTGACGAAGAGCTATTGAGAGGGCAAGATGCTTGGCGCCTTCTTTGGGTTCCAGAACAGCAACATACAGAACCAAAGGGAGCATTAGGTTCTCCACCTTGCTAACTTGCCGATGCAGCTTCATCCTACCCTTGCAATTGTCAACGCCTTGGACCTCGAACTTAGACCTAATATCACATACATAGCAGTAGTAAAAGCTACACAGTACACACACGTATGAATTACTTATTTGAGGATCAACTTGAACCAAGTGTGGTAACCAATGTTCTTAAGGTTCAAAGCAGTGACTTTCTCTTGATTGAGAGGTCTTCTAGATAAGCACCATCTTAATGCCTAGATTCAGCAACTTGTCGTACAACTTAATCATCTCTGGTAGTGATGATGCGACACAAAGATGCAATTCCATCCGAAGAGAGAGGGAATGAAGGAAATAGAAAGAGGAGAGAGGGAGAGTAGGAAAGAGGGAGGAGAGAGAGTAATTTTTTTTGTATTGTAAAAAAATAATTGTGGGACTCACTATTAATTATTTTATAATATAAAAAATATTAAAAAATTTAAATGTGAGACCCACTTAACAAAATAGGGGCATGAACAATTAAATTTTTAAAGTCAAGAGATATAAGTGACTTATAGTTAAGTTTAGGATCATTTATTTACTTTTACATATACTTCAGGAGTAAAAATGACCCTTAATCCTTTATAAAATTAAGAAACTAAAATAAAACTTTATATAAAGTTAAATAATTTATTTATTAGTAATGAAAAAAATTACAAATAGTACTCAAATTAAGGATTTATTTATAATTCTGGAGAATTTGTTAAATAATAGTGAAGTTTTAAGATTCTTGAGTGTTGTATTTGACATTCATGAAAAGACCAAATTGCCCACTAACAAAACTTTGACCAAACATTTGACATAGTTTTCAAATATTTTTATTAGAATATATTACTTTTATATTTACAAGTTAACATTTTAGATTTATGTTTTAAACTTTTTAAATTTACAAGCGAATTTTCAAAATTCTTGCATTGGATTTAGTTATTCAAATTTTACAAATTGATTTACAAATAACTTTAAATTTTGTAAATCGATTTTTACTTATTTGATCTCTCTTTAGATACTCCCTCCATTCAAAAATATAAGGCATTTTTTGAGAAGTTAGATGTATAAGACATTTTTAGTCTTTCGAGATGTAATCATTGCTTTTTTTTTTAAAGTATCCCTATTAATAATACTTTGTATTTATTATAGGGTGTTTGATAGGGGTTAATATAAAAATATAGTTAGTTAAAAGTAAGTAACTACTTTATTGAGAAGTGAGATTTGGTTAAAAATGTCTTATATTTTTAATGGAGGGAGTATGTTAGATATGCTATGTTTTATAAATATAAAATTTCAACTTAAAAGAATAACAAAATGGTGTTACTATTAAAATAATCATCAACTCCGTTAAATCTCCGAAGTAGTCACAGAGAATGACATTAAAAAATAAGGAGGATGAAATGACAATTAAGGACCTTATAAAATCATTAATTACAATTAGAGATTTTGAGCTATTGAAATTCAATAATGAATTATGGTCTTATTGAAATTAAAAATATATATGAGTTATAAAATTCCCTTGAGTCTCACTTGAAAAATTGAGAAAAGACACTACTAAAATTAGCATTGGAGTTAAAACTATTATTACTTTTAATTGAAAAAAACTAGGATTCACACTTGAGAATGGATTGTTTTTAGTGTGAAACTATAATTTCTTGTAAAACTTTTGAAAGGCACTTGTGAATATAAGATAGTCACTTAAAAATTTACCAAAGCCACTTGTGAATATGAAGCCAACCACTTGTGATTTTTTATGATTGTCAATATATAGTAAATTACTTGAAAAGTTAAGAAAAGATACTAATGAAATGTTATCATGGATTGAGACTATTATTAATCTCAGTTGAGAAAATAATGATCCCAAGTGTTATGGGTTAAGACTATTGAAATCACTGTTATGGGTTGAAACTATGTTAATCTCATTTTAAATGTGGATCCTGATTTTTCAACTGAGATTAACCACAATCCTAAACCATAATAGTAATTTCATTGTAACTTTTTTATTTTTAAATAATACTGATCAGTTGTTTTCTATGTTCATCGTGGGCAATTTTGTAAACTCATATATATTTTTAATTCTAAGTAAGGATTATGATTCATTATTGGGATTTCAATAATTCAAGTCTTAATTGTAATTAATGATCTTATTTGGTCCTTAATTGCCATTTTTCCTTAAAAAAATATCACTGGTGATTCACTCGTGTTAGAAGTTATTGGTCTGAGAGAGAACAATCATGGTCTAGGCATGCTTGAGAGTGGTGGAACACAATGTTTTGGTGTAGTAAGCTATTATGGTCCTTGGCTTTCACAGATTACATTACATGGAGACCATGGATATTAGAATGATAGAATCATTAGAATGGCTCTGCAGATTTGTTGGCACCTGATGTTAGCATCTCCCTGCCGTTTCCTCTCTTTTCTTGTTTGTTATGTTTTCAGTTTGTAAACTTTTTGTTGCTTGATTGTCAATGACAAGTATCTCTTGGTCCCAAAAGAAAATTATAGATTTTTTCAGACACACTAATTATTTAGCTCTATTATTTCTATATTTATGTGGGTTGTTAAAGATAATTTATAATATGGGCTCATCTAATCTTATTTGTAAATCATTTTCAACACATTTCACGACAATCAGGGACAACTTTAAAACTCATAATATTGTCTAAAAATTTAACAAATTTTAACTTTATTCTTATTAAATATACATACTTTAATAATATATTTCACTCTTTAACATTCAATAAAATTTAAAAAGAAAAGTTTGTGATAAAAATTTAATAATGTGATTTATAAATATGATTAAAAAAATTGTCTCTCTTACAGAGAGTAATGGATAGGGTAATATCAATTAATGTCATCATCATAAATATAAATTTTGCTATTTTTTTTATATAGCTCTCTAATTGAATTAAATTTAAGCATTGTCAAACCTAATTAAAGATAATTCATCAAAAGACATTTCTTGCATTCATACAAATTCAATAAACTTTGTAGTTCTTATATTCATACAAATTTGGTATTTAAGCAATCATAGTCCATTCCACTAAGTTTGATATTTATTGGCAATAAACTTTGTAACACGAACCATTTATCATATTTTACCTAAAGTGTGAGGGCCACTTAAACAGCACATAAATGTGATTTGAATGATATGTTGAACATTAAGATCTTAAGAAACACAAAAGAGAACAAGCTTGTCTCATTCCCAGATCCCAACTTACTTTATTCATGTTTTTCTTTTGGCAACTTTCGTACCTTGTAGAATCTACTTTGGTCATTCATGACAAATTGAAATCAACATTGATCGTTCCCTTATGAAAGCTATGATCGAAGTCTTAGCTTTTCTAACGGTTGAAATTATATCTAAGGCCCCCAACTCAACAAATATTGCATTAAAGTATCCTCAACGTTATAATTAATCCCATGAATAAAAAAATGATAAATTTTAAACCACAAAAAATTCCATCAAATTAAAGCATCATTACAATAATATTTTTATAAAAATTATAATTTTTGTAGACATTGGCGTAATTTCTAAAATTTTATATTAAATCCCAAAAGTTTTGTGGCAGTAATTAATTATAATTCTTGAGATCTTTTAACATAATTTTATCAAATTTTTGTCTTTAGACATAATATTTTTCTCTTTCAAGTGGTAAGTTGTTAGTAGTAGGATTTACCCCAAAAGTTTGCATTAGGAGTACGGATCAAGCTAAGAATAAAATAGCCTATTCAATCCCTTTACTTAGAAAAGAAAATCACCCCAAATTTCTCTTTTGGAAGATGATATCGTATTGTATTTATACGTAACATCAGTAAATAATCTCCACTATCCAATATGTGGACATATTTAAGAAATAATTATATAAAAGATTATTCATATCTAATTTTTTTTTATATTAATGGAGAATGATGAGATCCCAAAAATTTAATTTAATAACGATTAGGAATCAAAATTTTTTTGTTGAAATATGAGTTGTCAGTACTGACTAAAAGGTCACAAATATGAGTCTCGGATGCAAATTATTGAGAGTAATCAAATTTTTTTGTCTGACTTAGGATTGAAACTTTTATATTTACAATTATGTAGATTGAAATTTGCAAGTAATTTTTGAGTAAAATTTTTTACATTAGATTTAACTTTTAAACCCTCTATTTAGTATTCATAAGATATTTTTAATTAAATTACACTACCAATTAGTTCATTGTCTTTAAAATTACATGTCTTTTTCATATTGATTCTTGTTTAATAAGTGTTTCAATTAGAAAACATTATTAATTACATCCTCTAATAAAGAATATTTTTGAAAAGAATTTATTATTTATACTTTGAAAGACCAAAAATACTATATATAAATATATATATATATATATATATATTAACATGATATTTTTTAAAAAAATATCTTATAATATGGAATAGAAAAATACTCCTCCATTTATTAACAAAATTACACAATCAATAAGTTAGGTAATTATTTTTAAATTAACATAATTTTTCATGTTTGTCCTAATTTAATGGGATGTCTCACTTAGAAGTAAAAGGTTGAATAATTTTTTATTAATGGTAATTTTTTAACAAAATTTATTAATTATACATTAAAAAATAAAAAAGAACTTATATTTTTTTAACATTTAACCTAAAAAAATTTCTTATATTTTTAAATTGAGGAAGCATAAATTATGTGCCATTTCCTCTTATATTAATGGATGAATATGAAAAGTAAAAAAAATGAGAAAATAACAAAAAAACACTCCAAAATATATACTCTCTCTGACAAAAATATAAAGCATTTTTAATCGAATCTCACCCCCAATGAAATAATTACTACTTTTTAATTAACCCTATCTTTCCATATTTATCCTATTAAACACCTTACAATAAATATAAAGTCATTATCAATAGGGACACTTTAAAAAAAAGTAATGATTACACCTCATAAGATTAAAAATGTATTATATTTTTTAACATTCAACTTCTCAAAAAATACATTATATTTTTAAACGGAGGGAGTAAATGATAATTAAGCACTGTAAAATGATATACTTATTATTTAGTCCATAGAAACTTGTCTAACATTTTAATTCTTGACAAAATGACATATTTGCCCTTAATGACTAATATACATTGGGAAATCACTACTTCGGTTGAGTTATTTACCAAAACTGAATAAAAAATAACTACTTTCTTTCTATAAATTTGTTTATCAATCAATCAATTAAAGTAGTCATTTTCATAAAGAAAATAGTCATTTTTTATTCTATTTATAAATCACAAATTTGCAAAAAGGAATTAATCATTTTCTATTTCATTTTAATCAATAGACCAACAAGAATAATTATTTTATACTCCCTCCATTTAAAAATATAAGATATTTTTTAAAGAGTTAGATATTAAAAAATGTAAGACATTTTTAGTCTTTCAAAATATAATCATTGTCTTTTTTTCAAAAGTGCCTCTATTAATAATGACTTTATATTTATTATAGGGTGATTAATAAGAGTAAATATGAAAAGATATGGTTAGTTTGAAAGTAGATAACTAATTTATTGAAAAATAAAATTTGATTAAAAATATTTATATTTTTAAACGGAGGGAGTAACAAATAATAATTTCTAATTTTTAATATTTACACTTGATTGATAAACAAAATTTAAAAAAATAATAATTATTATTTTGTTTCATTTTAGTCAATAATCCAATCAATGAAAACATTTCCCAAAGCATAAAAGTCACCGAGGCAAATATGTCGTTTTATCTAAGTAAAAATAGATAATCAAAATGATTATAGTGTAATAATTAGAGGGTAGAAAATTTTTGAAAATTTATACTTTTATTTTAAAATAATAAATTTAAAAAGTGTCATTATTAAATTTTATTGGTATTTGTAATTTTTTCTCAATTTTAAAAAGAATAATTATCAATAATTAATTGCCACTTGCATGTTTTAAGGATTTTTTTTTTCATCCCCTAAAAACAATATTGTTGGTGATTATTAATTGTATCCCTCCAAGAACATCATAATCAATGGCGGCGAAAGAAAAACATTAAAAGCAATAGACCCTATAACATAAAAAAACAAAGAAAGGAAGAAAGCACGCTCCACATTGCTAATCATATTTATGTCTTTTACTTCCCCACTTTAACACTTCATCATCCTCCCCAGGGGCCATTCAATTGATCACTCCTCATGCTCCACATCTTATCATTCCCTAATTTCAAATAAGCTTCACATTAAATTCAAACATATGGTGCCTAGCTCTTTATTGGACCCAACATCCTTGACAAAGTTTCTCTACGTCATCCCTTTAATATAATATAATTAAGTGCGCTCTAAGGTATTGCCATCTGTTGTCACACAAGACTTGATCAAATAGTTAAGAATAAATCGTGAAAAAATATTCAAAATTTAAACCCTACTAATGTAACTAAGCTAAACATGTCTTATTTATCATGAATGAATAGTATATAATATTGACTAATCACAATAGTTATAGCTTGTAAAGAGTATGATATGTTACGATTTTTTTTTCTTTTTATATACAAGTTATCTTTAATCACCTCAATTGAATTGTGGAAAGGAAGTTAAATTATTAATCTTATCAATCAACGAAATAATTTTCCAAATTTGCACCCATTTCTTTTTTTTAAATATCCAATATAAATTATTGGAAGGAATAATTAAAACTATCTAACCAAAGATCACCATACATTATGCGAAATTTGATTTAAATTTTACTATCTACAACTTATAATTTGCAATAAATTTTATATCTTATATTATACTAAAATGATATAGAAGAAATTATAATATCCATAATTTGAAAATGATACTACTTGATAAATTTTATGCATGCATGTATGTATATGTCAATCAATGACTAACAAACATGATTTCATATAAGTGGATTATATATATAAAGAAAATTCGTCATTTTCACTCTTCCAAGTTGCACGTAGATTTATAACAAATTAAATTTAAATATTAAAATACTTCCTCGTTCCAAATTATAAGACACTTTTAGAAAAAATTCAGTGTTCTAAAATATAAAACATTTTGATAAAAGTAAGGTTTCATTAATAATTTTTTTTAATATTATTCTTCCCATGTATTCTCTCTCTTCAATATTCTTTTATTAATGAAGAATTAAATGAAAGATATTTTTAAAAATTTATATTTTTGTCTTAAAAAAATAAAATTATAAAATGTATTTAATGAGTTTTATTAATATGTGAGATTTTATTTAAAAATATTTTATAATTTAAAACGGAAGAAGTATTGCATATGTCTCTCTCTTAATATCAATCTTATATTTATATTTTATATTTACGTTATAACACCATAATTCATGTTAGCGGTTCCAAAAACAGTAATTAGTTTCTAATTTGAAGCCATACTACTAACTCATTGTCAAATGCCTTTAAAATTGATTGAAATTTGAAGGGAAGAAAAAGAAAAGACATTCCAACAATTGCCTTTTCAAGCTAATACTCAAAACAACATATACGAAGTATATTACTATAATGGGAAATAATTGAGAGTTCGTGGAGATCCTCTGCTTCCCATTCCCAATAATAATATAACGTATACATATACAGCTCAACCTAAAAAATACAAATACGTTATCAAGTCGCCGGTAAGCCCGCCGGCGGCGACAGATAAACCTGACTCTGCACCACCGTTTTATCCATCTTGAAACCGGGCACAATCGTGAAACCCACCCGAAACTCGCCGGCGCCACTGGAGCCACCAGCTTCTTCACTCCCGGACTCTGAAACTGTTTCCGATTCGGCGACGACACATTCCATGTACACCTCAGAGAATCTACTGTTCTTCTTCACCTGAAAAATGCTCACTTCTTCATCAAACGACATTGCCAGAAAATGCAGATCCCACACGCGCTTCGCCATCTCAGCGAACAAAGTGAAGAAAGCAGAATCTGGGAACCCCCCAGAGTTCACTTGCTTCCTCTGGTTCAAATTCCCAAACAAGGAACACTCCATCTTGGCATGAACAAGTTGAATGTACTTGGATTTCAAGAATTTTGCGAAGGATGAGGTTGGATTTTGGATCAGGTATTGTCTCGGGTTCAAAGATTTGAGCTTTTTGAATTTCTCGAAGTAGAGGTTCTGGTTATGCTTGTGGAGTTTTCTCTCACTGGGCTCATTCGGAACTGTAAAGTTCGGGAAATTGAAACCTTCAAACATTGTCAAACATACGAATGATTCGAATGCGAAGTATATGTGACTAGGTTTGGCAAAAACAGCATGGGGGTGAATGAATTTCACGGCTGTTTGAAGATCCCAATGAGCAGATTCCATTTCTCTGATCATCAACTTCACAAAGCTCTGGATTGATCTCAAGGTATGGTCAAGAAACTGAACGAAATGGGTCGGATTCAACTTGGAAAGTTGAAGATTATCGAACATTGACAGCGACCCACTTGAGTTTAGCCTCTTTTCAAGTGATTTATTGAAGCTGATACACTCATCTAGCTGTTTCTTCAGCGAGGAACTCTCAGATTCCTTGAGTTCAACTTCTGATTCGAGCTTCTTGATGGTGAGTTCATAGGTCTTCATCAAGCTCTGCTGCTCCTGAATCTCAGCAAGCATCAGAGTCACCTGGGGAGAAATATCAAGCTCTTTCTTCACGAACTTCCTCTTGAGCTCCGAAATAGCTCTGAGCTCATCAACCACAGCTTGATCAGCTGCTTGAATGGCTTCATTATTGTAGGGTTTCTGAGCCATTTGAAGCTCTGCGTAAGCAGCTTTAATGGCGGTAACACCAGCGAAGAGCCTGGCAATGAGAGCCTCCATGATTGCTCTGTTTCGAGCTTTGGCTTCTTCGTGCTTGGCACTAGAATGATGGGATTTAATGGCGAAGGGATGTGAGGAGAGCAAGCAGATGCCATTGTTGGAGGAAGAAGAAGCAATGATTTTCGCAGCAGCTCGGAAGCTGATGACTTTGTGGAATGTCTTGGCTAATTTACTGCTGCTGCGATTTTTGATTGCTGATTTGGGTTTAATGGTTTCCATTGGGAAGAGAATTATTAGAGGTTCGTTTGGAGCATAAGAATTCGATCAGAGTAAAATGGAAGGAAAATCTAGGAAAGGGAAAGAAAGTGTATGGACTTGAGATGGGAAAGAGTTTGTGTTTTGAGCAGTGAATGAGAGTGTTATTAATTATGATTATTATGGGGGGAAAAGCAGACGCAAATGTTTGACTATAACACTATCAATGTGGACCTTGGCATAGAGAGCTAAGGTTGTTGGATAACATAATAAATTATCAAATCAAAGTTGGCTTGTTATTCTTTAGCCTTTCATTGTTTAGATGCAAAAAAATACAAGCAATTTAAATTTCAAAAAAAAATTATCCAACTCCCAATTGAAAAATTAAAGAGATAGAAAGATAATAGACCTCATATAGAACTATATATACACTCCTTCAATTAAAAATGTAAGACTTTTTAAGAAATTGAATGTTAAACATATAAGATAATTTTAATATTTCAATGTACAAGTAATTTGTCTTATTCAAAAATGTTCGTTATAAATCAATTATTTTATTTTTTTAAATGAAACCCTTTATTAAATAAAAAATAATGTTAGCTAAAAGATAATTAATTAATTTATTAAAAATAAATTTTGATTATAAATATTTTATATTTTTTAACGAAATGAATGTGTGTGTGTGAGTATTTCAATTGTAATGTTTGCACTAAAATAAATATATATACATTTATGAATTATGATCCATGCTAATTTTAACAACGTAATCTCATATTTAAATAATGAGGACTAAAATAATAATTAAATTAAATTTAAATGATTAAATTAATGATAAATTGCCCTACTAACCTAAAAAAAATTCTTGCACCCAACAAATATAGACCAATTTTTTAAATAATATTTGAAAGTGTGGCTGGTTTCTATTAATATACAAGTCAAAAATTAAATTTTAAGAATTAATAAATAATTAACATAAATTTGAAGGACTAAAGCCTTTTTTTTTTAAATGAAAGTTTTATTATCACTTTTAATTACACGAATTTCTTATATTACATGGAAGTTGGAGAATAAACGGAAAACAAACAGTACAGAGCAAGGGCGCATAAAGCGCGGGAAAGGAAAAGATTTGTTGAGGTTTCTGCGGAGGACATGACAAGTACTTGAAGCTGAAGTCTTCCGTATCTGCTCCAAGATTTTTCTTTTTCTTTTTCTTTTTCTTTTCCTATTTTTTCTTTATCCTGCTCTTTGAGAATAAATAATAATAAATGTAAATGCCGTCAAACCAAATAAAAAGCAGGCTAATATTTTAAGATCCTAGGATTTCAAAATATCAATTGTGGAATTTAGTAGTTCAATTTCAAAAAATTAAGTTTGGATAAAAAAACATTAAGTGAATTGGTCGAAATGTTCTTATTTGTAGAGAAATTAAAAATTTTAAATAAACTTGTACCAAAATAGAAATTGTACATAAATGTCAGAATTAGAAACTTGCTTAAAAATTTTTAATTAAGCAATTTTTCATATTGATTCTTTAACATTTTTAATTGTGCTTATTATTTTTCCAACTTAATTTTTGACATTTTCAAAAATTGAAGAATGAACATAAAATATTGCTTTAAGTGAAAATCATCCCCATTGATCAGCTTTCAAGTTTTTCAATTTAGTTTTCAGAATTAAATATCATTAAAAGATTCAAGTCTATAGTTGAACAAATCAAATTTAAGATCTGAAATTGTTGTTTTTTTGTTTTTGTTTTTATTTGATCCGAACTCCAAAGTATTATTTTTTTCTTCCTAATAATTATATATGCATGCATGTGTGTGTATCAGCGGATGTATAGTTGCAGTGTTGCCGGGAGAAATGATCATACATGGACCCCCCTTGTCTTCCACGATTTCTGTAAATCCGCGTCTTTGGCGCAGCTCATTTTAGGGGGGCGGCAATTAGATTTTAAAAGATTAAATTAATAATAATTAAATTTTTAATAAAAAAATTTAAAAAATAAATTATAAATATTAATTCAAATAGTTATAAATAAAATTTTTTGTTACAAGAGTTATTTTTAGTATTTAAATATATATTTATAATTAAAATTTTTGAACGTAATTTATAATTATTTGAATTGATATTTTTAATTTATTTTTTAAAAATAGAAACTTAAACTTTATTAATTTAATATTTTGAGACTTAATTATTATTTTTTTTCATTTATTTATACCAACCTCTTTTCTTTTAATAAAAAGATCATGGCAAAAAATTGTACAAAAACTATTACAATCAAGTTACAATAGATGCCATGAGAGATTTGCACCCATGGATAGATCATCGAAAATTGGCGACCTAGCCAATCTATATAATTATTTACTTTTTAAATATATAGTTAAAAATAATCATTCAATCTCTTATAATAAGATCATCTTTGATTTTTTTTTAAAAATACTCCTTTGATCTTATTTATAAGTTACTTCCAACATATTTTATCAGTATCAAGAAAAATCTTAAAACTCATTAACTTTATTTTAAAATTTAATAAATTTTTAAATTTATCCCTATTAAGTATACATACTTTACTAACATATTTTCTCTCCTCAATATTTAATGAAAGATAAAAAAAATTATTATAAAAATTTAATGACGTGACTTATAAATATAATAAAAAATTATTTTATTTTATTTTATAAATAAAATTAAAGAAAGTATCTGACAATAGGTGGTTTTCTGTGGAATTATACTGAATGAAGTACATGTTAACTTTATTAAATCTTTTCCTCTAGCAAACGTTAAGTCTTTAGGAAATACTACCCAATAGTTGCAGTTGCAGCATTAACAAAGGTCAAAATCCTTTTAATTTTCGATTATGCAATGACTTTTAAAACTTGACAATACATTTTCTTAAACTCTAAATTTATGTAAATAATTCATCCCCCCCCCCTATTTTGACCTTTATCTCACTAAATAATTTATCAATCGTGCATTTACTTTTTCATATGATATATTGATAATATTAAATATTGATATTAAGACCTTGGTCACGTGATTGTTCATATCTTCTGTTATATAAAATGCCAATTAGACAGGGGACTCCCAGCGGGAATGTGAACTCAACAAATAAGAAGTCAAAAAATAAACAAGTGATTTTATGATTAAGTAAATAATAATAATAACTGAAATTAGTAAATATTATTATATGTTGAGCTTTTCAAGAAGTTGCATTGATGGCCATGAGCATGTAGATAGGATAAGCATGAGCAGCTGGCTACAGCAGAAAGTGTTGAAAACCAACTTCAACTTTTTCCTTTCGTTCACATTACATCTATTGCATTTTATTTTGTGTGTACGTGTCACGTTTGAAATATCTACTTTCACAATATATGATATAAATTTTATAACTAGATGATTCATTTCATTAACCCTGCTTTATAACTCAAAATGTTAATAAAAACAAATTCTCCTTCTACTTCTAAATAGAAGATCTAGATAACTAATTTACAAAGATTAAAAGAAATCATTGAACTAGTCATTTGTAAAAAAATGTGTTTATTTTTCTAAAATATCCCCTTTAATTATTTACATTAGAAACTACAGCAAAACTCCCATACAATATGTGCAATTAATAAAGATAATTTAAAAATATATACATTTAAAAGATAAAGTATATTGAGATCTTATATTTAAGAATAAACCAAATCTTTCTGATTAGCTCCTATAAATGGGAGGGAGTATATTACCCAAAAAAATGGGAGGGAGTAATTCGGAATTTATTAATTTGTGAAGGATAAGAATTAAGAAGGCAAAATAGGATAGGATGGGAGGAAGCAATAGGCCGGAAATTAGCGCGAAATCGTGAGAAAGAGACGCAGCCAAAACTGTCATTGTGGCTCAAACGTCAAACACGAGCAAGACTCTAGGGCTGTGCAGAAGCTTTTCAATTCTATTCGTGAGAAAGCTGTATCCAATCCTATTAAAAATTAGTTCTTTTAGGATTGAGGATTGAAAAAATTAAAAAAATCAAACTGTAAATTAGATAAAAACTAAATATTTAAATCTTATTAAATTTGTTTAACATGATTATAAGTAATTTATTAATTATTTATAATAATAAGTTAAGGCTAATAATAGTTTAATAAATATGGTTCCTGCATAGTGGCATACGTAGACTAATAATTTAGTAATCTATATTACTTAGAATGTAATTAAAATATTTTTTTTGTTGTTAAAAATTATTATGAATTTATTATAATTATAAATTTTTTAATTATTTTAATTAAATTTATTAAGTTGAAATGTATTATTGTCTCTCGTAAAGAAAAAAAAAACTTAGTGAGTATTAAACTAACACGATCAATCTCACAATCCTATGAGTCAAATCCGATTTTATTAATCTTTGAGTTATCATTAGATCAAACCAGACTATAAGTTACCTAACTCAATCATTTCATAAAAGAGATCAAATTTTGGATTAGATTAAAATCTAATCCCATCTAGCATAGTATTGAAAATCGAACTGGATTGGCCGGGTCAACCCAAAACCGGTGACCCGATCCCTTATCCGGTCTAGGTTTACTCTTAACCCTGTGAGGGAGTGAACCGGTGTAACTCAGTCAACCCGAGTTCAACCCAGTATAACCCGGATAACCCAGTAGGTTGATCGGGTTAACCGGGTTATTATTTTTTCAGACTTTTACCCCTAAAACGACGTCATTTTTTATTTTTTTGTTTTTAATTTTTTCAGAGCTCTGAGTTCGAAAATAAGATAACAAAAAAAATAAAATTGAAGTTAAAAAATGAAAAATTAGAGGCAGAGTATGATAAGTCTAAAAATATAGTATTTTATTATTGTTAGACTTTTGAGTAGTTGGATTTGATTGAATGTTTTTATAATTAATGTCTTTTTATTTAAATTATATTATTTTAATTATGACCGGTTTGCCATCGATTCAAACCTCGATTCAATCTCGATTGAACCACTAACCTGTGATTCAATATCATGACCGGTTCGATTCAACGTACCTTGCCATCTAGTTTTTTGTGCAGCACTGCACAACTCTCTCTTCTTGAAGCCTGGTTCACGGGGGCTGCATGCGCTGTCAGGCACTTCCACTTTTTTTTTTTTTGTTTTTATAATACAATTAATAATCAAATATTTGAGCC